CTTGGTTATCTTTTTCACGATTTTCCAGGTATTGATGTCAGGTTGATTGATCTGGATTTGTTAATGTTTAATGATAGATACAAGCTGCTTATAGTGTTTCAATATCTTGTCTAGTTCATGTGTATTTATCGGTAAAAGTAGAGAATATTTCTTTAAGAACTGCTGCTAAGCTATTTTGTATTGCTATATGCCCTCATAGTTTTCACTCCCTCTGAAGAGGATGCCAGAAACCACAGGCAAAAAAACCCCCAAAACCAGATCCCTTTCCTCAGACTTCTGAAGTGAACAGGAGTCAATCTGTTTGAAGTGCAGAGACAGCCTCAAGGTAATGAGCCCATCCCACTTGCCTTTAAAATGGGACTGGCACTGTATTTTATAGGAAATGTGGTGGTAACATATGCTAATAAATACCTTCCGGGCCTAATTCTAGAACTGGTTTCCAACAAAAACAGCCCTAGAACATGTGAATTATCTTTGTGCACATGAAGAACAGATTTCCTTTATGGCAAATTGAGATTCCCCATCTTTGTAGATGCAGAATAAAAGGTTGGCGTCTAGAAGGATTTTTTTCCCAGTGCATAGAACAGTAACAATGCCTTTTTCTCATTAATGGTACTCAATATTTAACTTCTCTAAACAAAATAGTAAGCTTTGTCCAGTAAGGCCAAGGAGAGGACCTCATCTGCAACTGCATTTTTCCCCATAATAAAGGAACAGCACCTTGCTCTGCTGTCAAAATAGTGACAACTGATTTGACTAGAAACCTTATATAGATTTTTTGCTGAAAAAAGAAAGAAATGATCATTTAAGGATTTAAAGAATTAGAAAGACATGAGTTAAATGAGCGGCTGAAGGGACTTATATAATATCTAAAGGGAGGAGATATTATAAGACTGTAACTATCTGTTGAAAAGAAGATCAGAAATCATTTACTTAACCTTAGCTTTTTCTTATCCTTTTTTTTTCATTTCTTGCACTTTTTCCTTTCCTTCCTTTTTATTTGTCTTTTATTCTATGGAAAGTACTTACTAAGTATAAAACCACTTAAAATTTTTTTTAAATTAAATAACAATTTATGTATGTATAAATTTGGGGATGTAGTAGACATTTCTGAAGATGTAAGGTCAACTAAATGTGTATCTGACCTTTATATATTCTGGCTAGCTGACTGACTGACTATCATTGTAGAATGATACAAATCTCCCTGGAGAAAATGTAGTTCCCAGAAATTTTAAAGAGACTTCATATATGCACCCAAATATATAATTCACACCAACTTTCCTTAATCCTATTTAACAAGGTAGAAGTTGGTGTGTTTGAGTATACATGTGAAGTCTTTTTAAAATATTAAACTAGTTTCTAATATGCCATTCTGACAAAATGACAAAATGCTAAGGAGGTTTTGCAGACCCCCCCCTTTTTTTTTTGGTAGAGGAAAGAGTCTCAAGTTTTAGGATCTAGACAGTTTTGGTGGATGAACTTTTTGAAGGCCAGAACAAATACAGCATATCTCTATTTATTTGTGAACCTCTCTGGCTTTTCATACTGTTGACAAACTAATCAACGTCTTGATTACTAACGTCCCTCAGACTTCCTTCCTTCCTTCCTTCCTTCCTTCCTTCCTTCCTTCCTTCCTTCTTCTCTCCGTCCTATATATACCTATGCTAGCTAACATGAGAATGTTTATAAATGAGATAAAACTTGATTGTGGAAAAATTTAACCTCATATTGAAGTCTTAATATATACATGCAAATTTATTTCCCAGCTTGAGATAATTTATTTTCATGAAGTTAGTTTTTTTTTAGTTACATCCCTTGTATCATTTAGGGAGGTAAGATGCTGCTTATAGATTGATACTTTAATCCTACCTGCAGAGATACTGCCTGCATAGAGTTAAACATGATCATAAATTTAAATCCAACCAACACAGAATGTATAGTTTCTTAAAAACCCAGGCAATCAGTTTGGGGATTTTTCTGAAGCCAACATCTGACCTCAGCTGTAGCCAGCAGTGCCTTATAAGTATCATTAAATAAATAAACTCAAGTATCTTTGGCATTATATGCAGTCCTGTTGCATTAATTATATTCATTAATGGAAAGTACAAATTTGTAAATTCCACTCACATCAAACCTGGAGTAGGGTAATACACTTTGCATGAAGCTGTCTTAAAAATATATGGAAGCTACAAATGTAGCAAAGAACTCACTCATCAAAATCATTACACTGATTTTTGGCTCAGTTCAAAAAACTTATGGTGATGAAATTTTGAAAAAGCAAATGGGTTATAGCATAAAAACTTGAAGGAGACTTTTTCTCCCATACAGGGCTGCAAAGTAAATGAGTTAGCTTTTAGAGGCCTTCTTGGACATTCCAACAATCTCAGATACTGGAAATTGAGATTAAGCAGAAAAGCCTTGAATATCTTGGAACTTAATTAAAGTTTCAATTCAATTCAAAATAGAGCTGGAAAGGATCTTGGAGGTCTTCTAGTTCAACCCCTGATCAAGCAGGAGTCTCTATACCATTTCAAACAAGTGACTGTCCAGTCTCTTCTTTAAAACCTCCAGTGATGACACACCTACAACTTCTGAAGGCAAGCTGTTCCATTGATTAATTGTTCTCTTAGGAAGTTTCTCCTTAATTCCAGTTTACTTCTCTCCTTGATTAATTTCCATCTATTGTTTCTTGTCCTGCCCTCTGGTGCTTTGGAAAATAAGTTGACTCTTTCTTCTTTGTGGCAGCTCCTCAAATACTGGAATACTGATATCGTGTCACCCCTAGTCCTTTTTTTTTTCTAGACTAGATATAAACAGTTCCTGCAGCCTCTTCATATGTTTTAGTCTCCAGGCTCTTAATCAATTTAGTTGCTTTTCTCTGCACTTTTTCCAAAGTCTCAATATCTTTTTTGTAATGTGGTGACCAAAACTGGATGCAGTATTCCAGGTATGGTCTTACTAAGATTTTATAAAGCGGTACTAATACCCTCACATAATTTTGATTTTATCCTCTGTTTATAATTAAGAATGTATTAGCTTTTTTGGCTGCTGCCACATACTGCTGGCTCATATTTAAGTGATCATCCACTAGGACTTTAAGATCCCTCTCATAGTTACTGTTTTTGAGCCAGGTTTCACCTAATCTGTACTTATATCCATGGTTTTCCTGCCTAAGTATAAAATCTTCCTTTTCTCCACATTAAATTTCATGTTGTTGGATAGGGCCCATTGTTCAAGTCTGTCAATATATTTTTGGATCCTGAGTTTGTCTTCTGGGGTGTGGCTATTCCTGCCAGTTTAGTGTCATCTGCAAATTTGATGAGTTCCCCTACTATTCCATCATTTAAATCATTTATGAAGATATTGAAGAGTACTGGGCCTAAGATGGAATCACTGCTCACTGCTTCCTTCCTTCCATGTACATGTAGTACCATTAAGGACTACTTGTTGAGTATAGTTTGTCAGCCAGTTACAAATCCATCTGGTCTTGATGCGGTTTATCCCACATTTTTATAGCTTACCAAAAGTAGATTGTGGTCTACTTCGTTGAATGCCTTACTGAATGTAAGTATACTAAATCCATAGTATTTCACTAGTCTACTAATTTAATTACTTTATCAAAGAATGAAATAAGGTTGGTTTGGCATGATATGTTTTTAACAAACTTGTGGTGGCTTCTAGTTATAACTTCATTTGTAAGGTCCTATCTCAATTACGTTGTCAATAATATCAGTTTGGGAAGGCATGCTTGCACTTTTAGGATATTTTAAACACTTGTTTAAGGTTTTTCTCTCCTGGGGAGGTGAGATAGGGATATTTTCATTGCCATTATATCACAGTTTTCTTTCTATTTCAGGTCCTGAATTTTTAATATTAGTTTGTAAACTGGCACAAATATTAGTTTGTGAACTGTGCAAATATAAGGGGATAGGAATGTTTAAAATTATAATAACAGAATGAAAAATAATACAATATTTAATAAATCCTTGCTCAGAATAACACCACATTTATTTCTTAACAGGAAAGTAGGATTTCCCAATTTAAAGATATGCCAGAGCCATAAAGAGATTAGGAAAGGGTTAACCAATATGGAAGGAATTAACGCAGCTACTGTCAAACTGCTTTCCCCATCATTTATGCTGCAGTGTGCCACAATCTTGAGAGGGAGGGGAATTTGGGGGGGGGGCTGACTAAAACTGCTGTTTGAAAAAAAGGGGGGAAATGTGGAAAGACCAGCATGAATAGGAAGCAGAAGTGTGAACCAGTTTCATTCGGCCATTTGAAGGACTTTTGGGTGTTCCCAGGTTCATTCACAGGACCTGGGAATGGAATGTTACTACTTCTCAGAGTGTCCTATTCTCATAACATTCAGCTACCATCCTGATGAACACTGATGAACTGTTCAAAGGAGGGAAGGCTAATGGTTCGAAATAATGTAACAATTTGTGTGGGTTTTCTTTAGATTTGGTCTTGCTTTCGCTGCATCCAGTTGTCTCTAGTAAAAGAGTCTTGCAACCTTCTGATGGAGCCAAGCATTTTTCTTTCCTAGAGAGGCAGTTAGAACAGGGCTGACAGGTACATAGACTTGTAGAAAATCTAGAGTCACACTTGATTCCTGTTACTATTGCATAAAAGAAGTTTTTGTCCTCTGTAGTACCCTGTGACTCAGCATCTTGATATACATCATAACTTTCCATGTATTCATTCTATAGCACTAGATTGTTCTGGCAGTGGGAAAACTAGAACACATAGAGAGAGAGTACTACAATAGTAAAAACAATAAAGATATCAAGTGGATTAATTAATACACCAATGGTTTCAAAAAATAAATTAAGGAGTCTTTAGGAAATACGTGTTTCTTTAGGAAACACGTATTTATTTCAAATGACATGATCTCAAATTCAAGTACTTGTGGGACAATGTGGATCATTTTTATCCAGGAAAACATTTTGACAATTCTGTCACTTACTGAAAGGAAAACAGATATTTCAAGCAACAGATTTGGTTCATTTTAAAATCTATTTATTGACCAGTTTAAATCACACAGGCACAAATTCACAAATCATACAGGAAAAATCCATGAAATAGAATATTTCTGAGTTTGAAACACTAAGAAAATGTTGACTAATCCCATATTTCCACTTTAGCACTATTTGTCTCCCAAGAATTTGTTTCAGAAGATTAAATGGGCTAGTGGTGGAGGTGAACAGGGTATAATTGGCAAGAAATATTCTTCTTGCATTCTATCAGTAGAGACCTAGTTGGGATCAAAGATGCTCTTTCATTTGTGGAAGAATAAGCCAGGATCTAAGATGTTATTACTCCTCACCCCCACATGAAGTGTATTTCTACACAAGGGGAAATGTGAATATTGCCTGTTGAAAATACCCTAAATAACACATCATTTTAAATTATGCATGTTCACACAGCAACATTCCACAAGAGATTTATTAATGATCCTTCTACTGAAAGCCCATACATAAAATCTAATGTGTTTTTTAAAAAATCAAACATCTCTTAACTATATTAAAACTCTCAGTTAAATCCAGTATAAACTAAGTCCTGAAAAAATAAAGCAACAAAAAAGGAAAAAGTGACATACAATATCTTTGATGTGTAACGGAGAAGGATGTTTCATAAACAACTTTTACTATTGGGTCTTCAAGTTAATCTCATAATAATTGAAGCATCTTTAATAAGACATGGTTTTTCTTTTGGTTCCTGGAATACTCTGCATACTTGCTTTATTGGTGTTTGAGATATATTATATCTTCTTCCAAAACCAGCCCCAGGCTGTTACTTCTGGCCAGAAGATTCTGAGATTCTGTTACAAAACAAAAGAAAGATTTTAACACATAGGTTCTTATACAGGAAATCCTCATTTAGCAATCATAATTAGGGCAGGCAATTTGGTTATTAAGCAAATAATTGCAATGTAAAACAACAATTGTACTTATGATCTTATTTCAGCTTTCCTTTGCTTTATAAATTTGCAAAGACCATAAATGTGAGATCAATTGTAAAGTTACTCTTTCATCACCATTGTAACTCTGAATGGTTGCTAAATGAAGCACTTGTTTTTTTTCCAACAAGTGAAGATTACCTGTACATATGTACAATGCATTCAGAAAGTATTCAGACTCCCTTCACTTTTGTCAATTTTGTTATACTGCAGCCTGATTCTACAGTTGTTGAAAATAATCTTTTCTCATTAATCTACACTCAGTACCATATAAAGACAGAAAACAGAATTTTAGAAATGTCTGTAAATTTATTAAAAAGAAAAAACTGAAATACCACATTGGCATAAATATTCATTGGCATAAATATTCAGGGCATTGTAAAAACATGTAAAATTTAGCTCTGTTGCCTTGATTATTGCTGACATGTTTCTAAACCTTGATTGGAGTCCACCTGTGGTAAATTAAATTGATTGGACATGATTTGGAAAGGCACACACTTCTCTATAGAAGACCTCACAGCTGACAATGCATACAATGAGTGTAGCAGAGCAAAAGCCATGAGGTCAAAGCTCAGAGACAGGATTATTTCTGCTGCATTGAAGGTTCCTAAGAGCACAGTGACCTCCATAATTCTCAACTGGAAGATGTTTGGCACAATCAGGACTCTTCTAAGAACCGATCACCTGGTCAAACTGAGCAAGTGAGGGAGAAGGGTCTTACTAAGAGAGGTGACCAAGAACCTGATGGTTACTCTGAGCCCCAGAGATCCTGTGTGGAGATGGACAGATTTCCACAAGGATAATCATCATTGCAGCTCTCCACAAATCTGGGCTTTACAGCAGAGTGGCTAGATGAAAGCCTCTCCTCAGTGCAAAATACACATAAGCCCACTTGGAGTTTTCAAAAAAAAGGACTTTGAGACTGTGAGGAACAAGATTCTCTGGTCTGATGAAACCAAGATTGAACTGTTTGGCCTCAATTCTAAATGTTATGTCTGGAGGAAACCAGTCACCCTCATCACCTGCCCAACATCATCCCTATATGAAGCATGGTGATTGTGGTAGCATCATGCTGTAGGGATGTTTTTCAGAAGCAGGGACTGGAAGACTGTTCAGGATTGAGGGAAAGCCGAATGGAGCAAAGTATATATCCTCAATGAAAACCTATTCCATGGCGCTCAGGACCTCAGACTGGGCCGAAGGTTCACTTTCCAACAGGACAACGATCCTAAGCACACAGCCAAGACAACACAGGAGTAGTTTAGGGACAACTCTGTGAATGTCCTAGAGTGGCCCAGCCAGAGACCTGACTTGAACTCTATTGAAATCTCTCGAGGGACCTGAAAATGGTTGTCCACTGATGGTTGCCATCCAACCTGACTGAGCTTGAGAGGATTTGCAAGGAAGAATGGCAGAAAATCCCCCAAGCCAGGTATGCAAAGCTTGTCAGGTCATATTCCAAAAGATTGGAGACTGTAATTGCTGCCAAAGGTGCTTCAATAAAGTACTGAGTGAAGGGTCCGAATATTTCAGTTTTTTTCTTTTACATAAATTTACAGACATTTCAAAAAATTCTATTTTCCCTTTGTCATTATGGGGTACTCATTGTAGATTAATGAAGGAAAAAAATGAATTTCAACAACTGTAGAATCAGGCTGCAGCACAATAAAATTGACAAAAGGAGCCTGAATGCACTGGAGGTCCGGTGCACAAGGATTCCTTGTGTCTTCCAAATGGAAAGAACAAACCTTCATATGATTGAACCATTTGGTTTTAGATCTTTGCAGATGGATTGCTTCCAGCACTACTAATCAAATCCATTATGTACCTTATCCAGTTTGTATTTGGTCTCTAACTGTATATCTTAATAAAAAGTTAATTACCCTGTTAGAGATTATTTTGTGGAAAAACACTTCAGGCTTAATCTGGAATCATCCTGTAATTTATCAAGAGGTTGAAAGGAGCTGAAGAGGTTCATAAAGTTGTCCTGTCTTTCTTTTGGGTGTGCAGCTTTCTGATAAGACTGTCAATTTTATCTCGTCCACCACAGCCCTTTTTTTACTCATCTTGTAGTGTAATCAACAACCACAGCTGTAGATATGACTTCATTGCACAAAATAGGCTCCCCTAAAGCTAAACGGGGCCTTTTTCATTGTTTTGCAGCCCTCTTGCTGGCCAATTCTTTAGATGTATCAGGAAAGTGGATTGGCAGTGGAGTTTTTAACAGCCTTACCCCAAAGGGCAGGAAAGTTCTCTGCCAAAACTCCACCCCAACGAAATCAGCTTTCATCACACAGCTAGGGGAGAAATGTGGTTTGTAACTGGATTCACATCTGTTTCCCTACGCAAAAGGTTCAACATCTCTCCACTTTGAAATATATTAAAAACAGAATAAGCACAATAACTAAGCTTAAACCTATCAGTCATGTATGAAAAATAAGGTTAGAAACCTACTCATCTCTCCAGCCTGCTATTCGCTGTGAGACCATTCTTATTTTCATGAGTTTCCGTGTGCAGGAGGAAGCAAACTGTTGCTTTTGCAGAGAAGTTCTCCCTCCCTCTCCCTCCATCCCTCCCCCCCCCCTCAGTCTGTCTGGCTGTCTGTCTGTACACCTCCTGCTGGTGCTTGTGGTTAAGAAGGAAAGATTTTGGAGTCTTATCTGCCTGCAAGTGAGGGAAGAACTCAGTAGCGAAGAGGCAGGAGCAGTACAGTTGTAGAGCTGAATTTCATTTGAAGTGGCTGCAGGTTTAGCAAATATTTATTAAATGTACCTGGAAGGTTAAAAGTAGAGGAATACTATCATTTATAGTAAATTGGAAGACTGAGAAAATATAAACTTGTGGAACTCTCAAAATAGGAGGAATAAACAGGATTGAAATAAAAGATGGTTGTGAGCCCCTTTATCTTATCCTCTATCAGCTGTTTCCTCATGAGGCAGGTTGTTTAATTAAGAATTAGAATTTCAGTCAAAGAGAGCAAGGGCAGATGGAGAAGGTGATTTTGGCAGGAATGCAAAGCCCAAAGGCAGGGCTAAGCCAGGGCGTGTTGGAAAGACACGCAAGGACCTTGAGTGCATGTTAAAGATTTACTGCTCAAGGTCAGTAAGATATGGAAGGAGGGAGCTCTTGCTTGGTAAAAAGAATAAGAAGACCCTCTTCAAGTGCTGCCCAAGGCAATGCTGTTCCCACAGTATAAGGGAAGGAACTAAACTTGAGGAAGAAATAGCCTAAGGGTCAAAAGAACTTGGCTAGAAATTTGATTTCTATAGAAGCTTCAACTATTGAAAGCCAAACATTTGAAGAATCTACTTCTGAACATCTGTATAGTTGGGTTAACTGCCTCCTTCTCCCACAGCCCATACTTTAGCTCTAGGAAATGTCATCAAACTTCCAAGTTGTATCGTAGTATGACATCCATCATGCAACATGCATACATACTACATACAGAGAAAAAAATAGCCAGTGGCAAGTATCATACTATATACAGTAACCTTTTTATTTTAACTTTGTTGTTTGAACTTAGCCATGTTATTTGTAAGCAATAATTCATGGTTTATCCTAAAGTATAATTTTAATAGTTTCACCACAAAACTATGACAATGTATGCAAAGAAGTAGCTAGTTCATAATCATTCAGAGAAAAAACATGGAACTGGTACTAATCACAATGCTTTGTCCCTCAAGCATGTAATGATGCATTAAAAACCAAATTGGAAACTGCTAGGAAAGAGCTATTCTTCTCAAATGATCTATCCATATAGATAATTAAATCACTGCATCACTTTCTGATCTGCTATTCTGTTTGTTTCCTTATTGTTTGTTTCATAGAGGCTGGTAACATACCAACCTGTCTGAATATAAATTTTGTAAGAAATGTCAACAATCATCATGTAATTAATTGGAGACTTTTCCCCTGGGGGTGGCAGTTGGGGCTTTAGAGGCTAAGTTGTACTTAAAAAGACAATGTAGAATTTCAGTGGGCTGAAATGCAATAATTGAAAGAGGAAAACGGATAGCATTTAGTCAGTAATGTCTATTGCCACTTTTACAGTACATCAGAGTGGGTCATAGTCCTTTCCTCTTTGGGCTCGAAATAATGATTTTTATCTTGAATGTGTCTGAATCTATGTTTATGTTTAATGTAATTAATTACTATGTGCCATCAAGTTGCTGTAGACATTTAGAGACCACAAAGATTATTTATTTACAGGTAGTCCTCGACTTACAACAGCAGTTCAAAGTTACAACAGCACTCAAAAAAGTGACTTATGACTGATTTTCATACAACCATTGCGACATACCCCTGGTCTCATGATCAAAATTCAGATGCCTGGCAATTAATTCATATTTACAATGGTTGATAGGGTCATGTGATCACCTTTTGCGGCTTCTTGACAAGCAAAGTCAATGGGGAAGCCAGGTTCACTTAACAACCGTGTTACTAATTTAACAATTGCAGTTATTCACTTAACAAATTTGGCAAAAGAGGTCGTAAAAGGGGGCAAAATTCACTTAACAAATATCTCACTTAGCAACAGAAATTTTGGCCCCAATTGTGGTCGTAAGTTGAGGACTACCTGTATTGAGTAAATTTATATAGATAAATTTGTAGGATAGATTTTCTCCGTGATGATCTATCCCCACCTGATCTTTCAGGTCTTCCAATAAAATATTCATTGCTGTTTGTTTGTTTGTTTGTTTGTTTGTTTGTTTGTTTGTTTGTTTATTTATTTATTTATTTATTTATTTATTTATTTATTTATTTATTTTACCGCCCTTCTCCCAAAAGGACTCAGGGCGGTGTACAGCCAGCATAAAACCCACAAAAAAAAAAAACAGTTTAAAAATATTAAATAGTTTGGCCCGTAATTAAAATAAACAACCCAATTTAAATAATTTAAAAAAGAATAAAATTTAAAAATTAGGCCAGCCAGGCTTGTTGAAATAGAGGCGTCTTGAGGGCCTGGCGGAAGGTGCCCAGTCTACTGTAGTCTACTCTACTGTTGCTACTGTAGTCTATTCATTTTGTGTAATGGACCATGAGCAAAACTTTGAGAGATAAGAACTGTAGCCTGGGCAATGGTTTGATAAACCATTCTGAGTCCAAAGCAGGAATTTAATTTAAATAAGTACCTATCTATCTTTTTGATATCTTTTGTTAGTTCTAAGGATGGTTATTCTACCTCTGGTAATTAGTTGATCTTTATATTTAATTATAATATTTTAATCCTATTTTTTCTCTGTGCTCCTTGACTTTTATTAATACAGTTTATAGAGTAGTGTCATCAGCATAGCATATATTATTGATATTTCTTCCTCTTATTTAAAACCATGCCTGTTTTCTTTCAATCCAGCTTCCCTTAATATATATTCAGTCAGTTGTTTGAATATGATAGTATATGATATGATAATGATAGTATACAGATTAGCCACACTGCCTTGTCAACCCCGGAGTCAGTCTGTTTTACTATGTAAATACTACCTGTATTCTGATTTTCTGTTCTGCATATAGGTTTCTATATGCAGGACAAGGGATGTTCTGGAATTCCCATTTTTGAGCATATTCCACATCTTGATGTGATTAACACAATCAAGGACCTTTCTATAATCAGTGAAGCACATAGTAACCTCTTTTTGGTATTCTTTTGCTTTCTCAATTTTCTAGCATGCCAGCTTGAAAATCAGCATTTTTTTTCTCCATGTAGGGCTCTAATCTGCATTGGATAATCCTAAGGATTATTTTGCTAGTATGTGAAATTAACAATATTGTTTGATAGTTTGTATACTCTATTTTCTTTTTTAATACTGGAATTTAAATTTTCCTATTTCAATCTGTGGAACTCCGTTGTTCATCAAATTTGCTGCCATAGTTTGATTATTGCCTCATGGTGAAATGGGTGGCAAACAAATTCAGGCAGGGAGGCAGGCAGTAGTTCACTTAGAAGCTTGACTGATTCTTCTTCTGTGACTTGCCATATTTCGGTGGGTATTCCACCATTTCCTGTAGGGTTGTGACTTTGTAATTATTAGAGCGCTGGCCTAACTTTATCTTTTAGTACTACAGTTTCTTGTAATAGGGAATATCCTTTACCTTGGATTTTAATATCTCTGCCATACAGAATTTAGTTATGCCCTTTTAATCAGTTATTGTCTGTCTAATGGCATCCTTTGGCAAATCAATTTGAGGTTGGAACTTCATTCTGAATTCAGAGTTATTTTGAAAGACTTCCTTTGTTTTTCTATGACTGTTTCTAATGTATTTACAGATGTTGTTGAAATATTGTTTCCTATCTCTTCTAACAGTTGTCTAAAATTTCTTTCTTGAGATTTTTGTCCTCCTTAGTTTTGGCTTCTCTTCTCTTCTTGGAAATTTCCATGATTGTTCTGACATCCAGTTTGGTTCCTTTTCTTTCTTCATTTTTGGCAGTCTGTTTTCCCATTCATTCTTAATAACATCATGCCATAATTCCTCTGATTCTCTTATTGTGAGGTTCAGGACTTCAAAATGATACCTGATTTTCTCCTTGAAAAAAAAGATATGTATACGTTCAAGATGGTTTTGTGGAAATTGGCCTTCTTCTTTAACTTACATTGGAGCTTGAACATGAGTAATTCATGATCTGTTACATAGCTAGCACTTGGCCATGTCTTTGATGCTATAATTGTACTCTTCTACCTTTAAGACACCAGGCTAGAAACTAGGAAACTGAGTTGGTCCTGCCTTAGGCATTAAAACCATGAGTGACTTTGGTTCATCACTCTCTTTCAGCCTATCATACTTAATGGAATTGTTGTTGTGGGGGAAATAGGAGGAAGAAGTATTGGGTATAGTCACTGCCTTGAATTATTTATAAAAATAAAGACAAGGTTAAATATAAATGACTATAAAAGGTAAGGTAAAGGAGTCCCTGCAGATTTTACTCTGCTAGTCATTGATAACCATGGGGGCAGTGTTCATCTCCGTTTCAAGGTCATTGAGCTAGTGCTGTCTGAAGAAATTTCTTGTCATGTGGCCAGCATGGCATCACAGAACACTGTTACCCTCCCACTGAGGTGGTATCTATTTATCTACTTGCATTCGCATGCTTTTGAACTGCTCAGTGGGGAGGAGCTGGTGCAAGGACGGGAGCTTATCCCTTTACATCTCAAATACACACACACAAACATATTCTGATGTATGTATGTATCGGGTGATATTCACTTACCTTCACTACCAGTTCGCAAATGTGAGCGTGCGCGCACGTGCATCACTTGCATGCACCACCTCCATGCATGCGCAGGTACTTCTGCTCACGCACAGAACATCCAAAACGGTACGTGATTACGTCCAGGTGGGTGGGCAGAGCCACCCACCGCCACTACCGGTTTTCCCGAACCAGATAGAACCGGCTGAATACCACCACTGGTATGTTCTTTTAAGGCTGTCATTTTATATGGCTGTCTATCTTTCAGTGGGATTGTGTTGTTTATGTTAAAGCTATGATTCCCAAACTAGACTCTGTGACATTCTCAGTATGAATGCATAGAATGCCGTGGAATAT